TTTCACCTTTATTTTGATAGGACAGTAGAGAATTCAGACAGGAAAGCACTGGGAGTAGAGAGAGGGAAAGGATCGGCAAAGGACCTCGAGACGGGAATCGAACCTGGGTCGCCACAAGCACACTGGTGCTATATGTCAGCGCGCAGTACCACTAGGCTACTGGCACCAACGAGTCTGGTTTTCTTAATGTTTTTTTTTCCACATTCCTCGCCGCTGTCGACACTGGCCTGCATGGTTCGGGACTTGTGTAGCTGCGCATCGATGGATTTGCTCTTCAGTGTTTGGACTTTCAGCATTGAAAATTAAACTACACTGAACAGAACTAAACTGAACTTCAACACTGAAAACTGGATTGACACAGTTTCAATTTACTATAATCCTCTATGTTAAGCTGCTTTGACACAATTTACATTGTAAAAGTGCTATACAAATAAAGATGGAATTGAAATTAAAATCGAGACTTTTTTAAAAAAAGGAAAACGCCATGCATAAGTGGTAATTTGTTTTTTGCAATTTGATGGAAAGGTGATATAAGTTGTACATAAATACATATAAATGTTCCTACTTAAATAAAAAAAAATCTAAATATTAAAAAACTTTTAATTATTTTAGATGCTGATGACGGTTAAACAAGAGATAACAGTCTTTGTGAAAAGGGTCTATAACTACTGTCTTACCCAATGAAACCAACTTTGCTTCAGCTTATTCCCTGTTTTATCAAGGGTCATCACAGCGGAATTAACCAACAACTGGCGTATTGTTTTACAGGCGGATGCCCTTCCAGCCACAACCCATAGCTAAGAGTACAATCCTCAGTGCTAGAAAACACTCACACAATCTTCAGTTCACACACTACAGCCAATTTAGTTTACAATTTTACCTATACTGCATGCCTTTTACTTTGGCGAAACTGGAGCACCTGGGGGAAACCCACACAGACACAAGGAGAACATGTAAACTCCCTAAAAAAGATCTTCTTTTCCAGCTAGGACTCAAACTAGCAACCTTCTTGCTATGAAGTGATTATTTAATCCATATGAATAAATTTATAAATTAATAATAAAGGGAATAACATATTCCATAACATGGAGATGTTAATTAAAGTTAATTTACCCTGACTGAGAAGTTGATTCTGAATCAGGGTAATGTGTAATAATGGCATTCACTCATTCATTCATTCGTTTTCTGCTTAGTCCCTTTATTAATCAGGGGTCGCAACAGCGGAATGAACTGCCTACTTATCCAGCCGATGCCTTTCCAGGCGCAACCCATCTCTGGGTAACATCCCCACACACTCATTCACACACATACACTATGGACAATTTAGCCTAATCAATTCACCTGTACCACATGTTTTTGGACTGTGTGAAAAACTGGAGCACCCGGAGGAAACCCAGGAGAACGCAGGGAGAACATGCAAACTCCACACAGAAACTGACCCAGCCGAGGCTTGAACCAGCGACCTTCTTGCTGTAAGGCGACAGCACTACCTACTGCAACACTGCGTTGCCCTGTACAAATGGCAACCTAACAATTGATATTACTCTCCTTAGAGGTGTAAAAATATACAATAAAGCATTTTAATGCATCGGCCAAAACGAAAGAATTTAAATAAGTTCAATGAAATTAGTTAACTAATTATGCCACAATATTCCTGATTATTCAAATATTCAATTATTCCTGAAAGTTTATTAATTTGTTGATTTTCTTTTCAGCTTAGTCCCTTTATTAATCAGGGGTCGGCTAATACTGGGAAACACCCATACACTCCCGCATTCACACACATACACTATGGTCAATCTAGCTCATTCAATTCACCTATTGGACTGTGGGAGAAACCGGAGCACCTGGAGGAAAACCACGCAAACACGAGGAGATCATGCAAACTCCACAGCTGGGACTCCAACCAGCGACCTTTTTGCTGTGAGACGACCATGCTACCTACTGCGCCACCGTGACGGCACCCTGAAAGTTTATTGTTCTGAAAATCTGACTGTATTGCAGCAGATTTCTGGTTGCCAGCATTCTTTGTTACAGCCTGTTTAAGAAGAATAAATGTTACATTTTTCAGTTATTTTAAGGGATTTTACAGTGTACAGCTTTTGTTGTACTTGAAATAATATAATGTGTGATATTAAGGACCACAATACAATAATGTGTTTAAAAGGCATCATATAAACAGGCTTCAGTGTGATAAAGAATAATTATTTCATTTTAGGTAAGGAAAATGTCCAGTGAGCAATCAGCAAAGAGCCGACCTCTGAGTCATCCTTACAGCAGATGCTGAGGACTACAGGTGAGCTGCAGAACATCAGTGAAACAATAATATACGGCCAACTATAAATCTAGCCTCTGTGTGTGTGTGTGTGTGTGTGTGTGTGTGTGTGTGTGTGTCTGCATAGAGATCGTAAGGGCAGAGAAATTGGCAAGTATAAATACACATAAGGCAACAAGGGTGTGTATTTGTGTGCACAATGCTCTCGTATGTGTGTGCATGTTATTATAAGCTTAGTGTAGTGTGTTTGTAGGTGTGCATAGAGTGCATTTGTGTAGATGTCTATATGCATATCCAGAGTGAGTGCAGTGGTGTTTGTGTGTGTGTGTAGGTGTGTTCATGCTAAATTGCACTCATATACACACACACGCATACGCGCATATAAACACATTGTGTCCCCACAGGAGAAGGGAAATCGTGGGAGGTCAAGATGCTGATAAAGCGGAGATAAATCACTTTGGTTTGACGAGCGAAAATCAAATTCCATACTCAAATAAGAAGTGAGAAACCATACTCCCTCACATTTTACCCATAGCTCCCGTTTTCGCACTTTTAACTATAAACCACCTGATCATGTTGTTTTTAAAGCTGGTTTAGCTTCACTAGGAGAGAGATTAGTGCACTTAGAACTGTGACCCTTGAGGCTAAGACAGGTGAGAAGGCAGTATTTGCTCAGGGTGAATGATGATTACATTTAGAGTGCATTCTCAACTTTGCTTGCAGCAACCTGCTAAAAGGAATTAGTACTAGCCAATTGCAAGTGGAGGGATCCAATATCACCCTAAAAGGGGTTAATTTTAATACAATGACCTGCTGACTGGACATTATCCAGTTTAGTACACAGCTGCTTACCAAATTCATAAATAAATAAATGTTAAATATTGATTTGGCTTTAAATTATTAATAAAGTGAAGAAAAAATATGTGAGAAGAAAGAGACTGCTGGGGAGATATGAAACTGACACTATCGTACTAAAAAGTGTACCTGATTACAAGTCAAAATCACAAAGAAGAGTTAAGTCAACATATATAATTTCATTCAGATATATTGTAAAATAGATAAATGCCTACAAGCTGCAGACAAACATCATAAACAAATGTAGTTCCCTCACCTCACAAGGCAGAAAAGGCAATACATTTAAATATAAGGCAAAAAGAAAAGAAAAAGCTTTAAAGCAATGCTAAACTAGCAGCTTGTGAGAAATGTGTCATACAACACTGATAAAAATTAGTCTGCATTTTGCAAATGTTTTAACTACATGGTGTTAAATGCATTTTACAACTCGCTTTGGAATACAAGTAACAGCACATTTAAGATGATTAAAAATTCCTGAATTCCTGAAAATGTGAAAAAATGTGTGTTTTTTTGACAACAATTAATTTAAAGACTTGTTTAATAATTAAAATAATACTGATTATTTTTTAAAATCTTTAATTTATCATTTAAATTTAATTACTATAAAATTGATTTATTTTTTAATTACATTTTAATTACATTTATTTAATAATTAATTTTAATTATTTAAATGTTAAAATAATTTTCTTACATTTTTTAAATAAGAAACTTTGTGAGTAACTTGCATAGTTAAAAATGAACGAATGGTTTGTTATTTACATAGCAGTATACAAAAAAAAAAACTGCTTAAAATTGTTGTTCGTTCATTATTCAGCGCACTCAAATGACCACTCTTCCGTCATTGAAAACCAGATAAGCATGTTTATGTGATCATTCTCTGGGTCAATACCTATTGCATAATTCAATTTTGATTGATGTCTTTTGGACCAATAGTTTTGGGGAAAAATACTGCCTATGCATGTGTACGAAAGATGATAGGTGTTAACGGTGTTCCGTAGATGATTAAAATAATGTTCTGTACAGGGCGCATAACTTCAGTTCACCAACAAAATGGACATTACTTTAAGCCTTATTAAAAAACAATGTCAGAATATACTAACACTGTGTTTACCTTGAAGTTAATCTTATGTTTAATAACTTTATCTGAAAGTTTAAAATGAAATAACTTTACAATCATTTTATTTTTTTAAATCATGTTTATTTTATTACAACATGATCATTTAAAATATTAAAACATTAAATTCATGCAAATTAACGTTAACTTGACGGACCTTTTATGAATATAAACATCATCACTGCACAAAGATTATACAAACAGTGTTTGCAGCCCATCTCTCAGGCTTTTTCGGGCACGAAGTTGCACTGTGCTGTCATCACCCACAACTGATGTTAAATATTCTGAAAATATTTTCAAACATTAACTAAACAAAGGATCATTTATTCAACAATTTGTGATGACATAATTTTCATTTCTTAATGACTGTAATACTGTGTGATGCAGAAATTAAATGCAAATGCATATTGTCGTTGCCCCTTTAGCTTGCCCACTGTTTATTTTTAAGCGTATTAGCAAGACGTACCAAACTTGCTGAATTTTCTCTGAAACATATGGTAGGAGGATCTCTGTTGTGCTTGCGGGTGAAAAAGTGAGAAATAAAGATTACACAGATATATAGATTGTCTGTGACCTGTAAGTATTTATTCAGAGATTGTCGTTAAAAGGTAATCTTAACGAAACCTCATTGTGTATGGAACATCGTTAGTCTACAAGAGCCATATGACAAACAAAACTTCAAAGAGAAAAGGGGAAAAAGTTGCTAAAATCTCATCTAATACAGCAATGGAACCCTTCTGGAAGAAAGATTCTTACCTGGACCTTTCTCCAGAAAAATGACCTTTGACTCGGGGAAGAAGTTGGAGCCAGTGATGAGCATTTCCTCTCTTCCACTCACTGGGCAACTGCTGATACTGGCCTTCTCCACTTGGGGTAACTCCTGTGCTGAGCGCTGAGCTATTTATTCACAAATACAAGTGATATTTAAATCAAACTTTCAGATGACAGTGCATATTTTTAACTGTATTTGTTCTTATTCCATGTGTCGTGTATAAGACCTACAGCACTCCACTGGAACTGATGAGGACTGCAGTGAGACCACTTTTCCATTGGGTTGTGGGATGTGAACCCGGAACACCACGCGCACCCGAGTGTTTTTCCGTCCAATATCAGTCTCTCCTTTCCTCAGCTCGATGTCAGAGTTCCTCAACTTCAGGATTCCAGCACAATCAATACTGACAAACACAGCAGAAACATCAGGAAGGAGAAACATTAGGAAGGAGTATTCTTAACATTTCCAAAATCCCCTCTACAAGTCCATCCAAGTCACATTTTAGATTTCTTTTCTTTTCTTGGAGTTAATCCAAATGATCATTAACAAATAAAGATGTGTATTTGTATTTGAGCTGTGCATTAAGCTGAGCTTAATACACAAGGAACACATTAGTAAATGCATTCAATTAAATCATACTTTTATTTAGAAAGAATGCATTAAAGTGCTACAGTAGCAATGAATGATTCTATTTCAGCTCTATTTCAACTTTTTTTTAACATCAACAATAAGAAATGTTTCTTGGCCATCAAATTAGCATTTTAGAAACATTCCTTAAGACCCTCAAGATTGATTTAATAATGCTAAAAAACCGTTGTCATCACAGAAATAAATGAATACATTTCTACTGACAATATGTTAAAATCTGAAATGTTTCACAAACATATAAAATAAGGTGATGTTCTAATGTCAATTAATGCTTTACTCCAAATGCAGTAATACATTTAAAGATAAGGCATAGTGAATATTATCATAGGTCATCTTGAAAATAGTTCTAGAGTTTGTGTGTTTCACTACATAATGAAGATACACACTCTTTTAGATACACATTACTAGTACCCGGTTGGATACACTGTAGCCTTCAGAACGGCCCTAATCGTTTGTGGCATAGATTCAACAGGGTACTGGAAATATTCCTTAGAGATTTTGGTCCATATTGACATGATAGCACCACACAGTTGCTGCAGATTTAATGACTGCATATCCATGGTGTAAATCTCCCATTCCACCACATCCCAAAGGTGCTCGATTGGATTGATATCTGGTGACTGTGGAGGCCATTTGATTAAATTGATCTCATTGTTATGTTCAAAAAAACCAGTCTGAGATGATTCGTGCTTTATGACATGGCGCATTATCCGGCTGGAAATAACCATCAGAAGATGGGTACACTGTGGTCATAAAGGGATGGGCATGGCAAGCAACAATACTCAGGTAGGCTGTGGCATTGGCTCGATGCTCAATTGCTACTAATGGGCCCAAAGTCTGCCAAGAAAATATCCCCCACACAATTACACAACCACCACCATCAGCCTGAACCGTTGATATAAGGTAGGATGGATCCATGCTTTTATGTAATTGATGCCAAATTCTGACCCTACCATCCAAATGTTGCAGCAGAAATCGAGACTCAGACCAGACAACGTTTTCCAATCTTCTATTATCTAATTTTAGTGAGACTGTGTGAATTGTAGCCTCGGTTTCCTGTTCTTAGCTGACAGGAGTGGCACCCGGTGTTGTCTTTTGCTCCTGTATCCCATCCACCTCAAGATTGGACATGTTGTGCATTCAGAGAGGCTCTTCTGCATACCTTGGTTGTAGCGTGTGGTTATTTGAGTTACTGTTGCCTTTCTATCAGCTGGAACCAGTCTGGCATCCTCTGACCTCTGGCATCAACAAGGGATTTGCGCCCACAGAACTGGATGTTTACACCAGTTCCAATATATACACTGGATATTTTCTCTTTTTCGGACTATTCTCTGTAAACCCTAGAGGGGGTTGTGCGTGAAAATCCCAGCAGATCAGCAGTTTCTGTAATAATTAGACCAGCCCATCTGGCACCAATGACCATGATAGGTTCATAGTCACCTAAATCACCTTTCTTCCCCATTTTGATGCTCCGTTTGAACTGCAGCAGATCTTAACCTTGTCTACTTGCCTAAACGCCTTGAGTTGCTTTCATGTGACTGGATGATTAGAAATTTGCGTTAACGAGCAGTTGGACAGGTGTATCTAATAAAGTGGCCGGTGAATGTATAGCTAAAATCACAAAAGGCATTGAGGAAAGCAGCCAATAATCCGCACAAGGACTGTAATGTTATCATTATACAATACATAATTTATTTCTAATAATGCAAAACGTATTCTGTGACCATAAGGTAGGGATAAGTAAGTTTGTGAATAATTTAGATCGAGCTATTTTTAAAGCCAGAATAAAAATAAAAGACGTCAAATGGAAAGTCCCCATCATGTTAGAAAAACAAATGTGAATGTGTGTCTGTGTGAAAGAATCAAGACTGACGTAGAAGTGAAAAGCTGTTGGCAGGTACCTGGCAGACATATTGTTTTCAGGAAGGAGAGGAATCTCGAGAACCTTCGTGCTGGTGATGATAATTTCCTGGCTTGCCGTAGCCACGGTTTTTCCTGTGATGCGGTGGACCTGGTAGAAAGCATGTGGCCTTAAATAACGGTCATCCGCTGTCCCGATGAACATCTGCAAGTTCACTGGCTTCTCGTTGTAGCCAAGAAGCTGTTAAAAAAAGCGGAGAGATGATTCATGATTCGTTTTTATTTCTGGGAAGATAACTAAAAGGTTAATTGTTGCTGAGCATGTTTTTAACTATGACATAATCAACTGCTATGATCAGCAAAAAAGGGAATAATTCAAAACAGAATACATTCCTTTTTAAGTTAGACAGAAAGCCAAAAGTGTTCAACGGCAGCAATGAACCGCAAAACGTAAGTTACAAATACCCATTTGTTTCATTTTATTCTATGACTGCACTCACACCTAACATAAGATTTACCTTGAAGTTTTATTACAGAGCTTATTATATTCAATAATTCAAAAGCCAATTAAATGTTTGATGTTTTTGTTTTGAGAAGAGAGAGACAGAAAGAAAAAAAACAATGCTTTTCAAATCAATCTACGGTTTTCAACATTTAAAGTGGATCAAAAATGCTTTTCAAAATTGTCCTTGGACAAGAATAGGTGTTGTTGAATAGTTTTAGTACAACTTTGATCAGAGGTTTGGATTCACTTCAAATTTTTGACTACTGTGTAGTCAAAGCTATAGATCTACCTAGAGAACTATCTCTGTTCATTCAGAGCACTGAACATGCATCACGTCAAATTACCAAATTCTCCATTTAATTTTACTCTCATTTTACCAAGTGTGTTTCTATCTAAAAGACCCAGCATATGTGCAAGTACTTCCCAAGTCTTCACCCACTGGCATTAATATTAGACCTTAGTCCATTTTTTCCCAAAACATAATAGGAACATAATAACACATTTTCAAGGCAGAAGTTGAAGGAAACAAAAACAGCAAATGAACTGAAGGAAAAACGAAATGAGCGGGTGGATAGGTGAGAAAAAAAAAAAACCCTGATGAAAATCTAGTTCTGCTGCTAAAATAGTGTAAACAAGACTTTCAACAACTGAAAACGGAAATAAGGAAGTGAAAAACCCATTAAAACATGAATAATTAGATGCGATGCATCCCTCTGTAAGGTCACTAAAGTTCCTTTAAGAACAAAAAGTGTTTTCCTTCCTAGTGGCGCACAGCAGGGTGTCTGATGAAAACCTCAGTCAGACACCGGGAGCCAGTGGTGCTGTGCAATGCCTCGTCCAGGAGTCAGTACACATGTTTGACCTGCCAATACACTTCCCAGACAGGTGAGGAGTTCACAAACGAAGGGCAGCATTTCTACTGACGTGCATGTGTGGGTGGGTGTTAAATAGTTTCAGCACACAGGCTCCTAACAATCTCTCTACTGTTGAAATGTTACGCTTGGCAAACACTGACCAATGAGAGAGAAACTGGGAATTAAAGTGAAAAAGAAGGAAGGAAGGAAGAAAAAGAGAGCGATTACCCACTCACAGGTAACGGAAGGTCCAAGCCAAGCACAGCAACACAATAATGAGAAAAACATGCATAAAGTGGCGGGTCTCGAGAACAGAGCCAGATATTTGAGCAAAGAGGAAAAAGAAATAGACGGTGGGGAACAAAGAATCAGGGAAGAAAGGAAGACTTGAATGGTGCTGGGATATGGTTCAGGTAGTTCCCGGGACGGCATGGTTTTATTACACTTGGAGGCACGTGTGACTAAGAAATGATTAAACCAAAAGGACATGCTTTGTTTAAAAATATTTACAGTAACAATGTTTCCATACAAAGTTTCCAAAACATGAATCATTCATTAATCTTGCTTTCTGGAAAACTTGAATCTGATTGGTCAGTTGTGCCATAAATAAGTACTTAAAATCTTCAGAGAAGCTTTGCATTAGGTGAGCTAATAAACACAAATCAATATTTTCTGGACAATCGATTATTTAGGCCATTTACTGTACATATCACAGACTTGCTGTTTTTTGTTTTATACAAACTTATCTGCTGGCATCTCTTTAATAGTTGAGAATTATTTTAAAATGAGTCTGCTTAGAGGACGTTAGTATCAGCAGGCCAATAATAGTGTAGATTTGTCTTGCCAGGATTGTTTTGTATACTGTAATATATTATAGACTAGCACATGTTAATACATTTTCATCCTAAATCAATGTCCCTATAATTGTTGATGTTCTAAAACGTAGTGTAATAAATTATGTGACTGCCAAACTATTTTAAATCTTCATCTACTTTGAATTTGCCAATATGTTACAGCTAATCTCTTGACAGAAATTTGGTGTTTTTAAAATTTTGCATCCAATCATTACTTGTGTGGGAAGCAGCCTTGTAATAAGTGGAAAATGTACATTCATGCACACCCTAATCACCTTCGGTTATGACAACAGCTGAGGACATACGTTTTGCATAAAACATATTTATAAGAGCATTAACTCAGGTCAGTTATCCATAAATTGCTTAGAAATTGGTTGTCCATATTGAACATACTAATGTAAACCATCTGACTTTTATAGTAAAGTTACTATATTTCTGAATAGAATCTACATTTCTAAATTAGAAAATTTCATAAGTAAAAGAGATTTAAAAACAGCTAAAAGGAACCTATTATGCAAAATTCACTTTTATAAAGGGTTTAAACACAGTTGTGCAGTAACCGTGTGTGAATATATCCAGCCTCTAATGGTAAAACTTTATGAATTCATATTTATCATAATCACACTTTATAAGAACAGCTTGTAGAAATACTCTGACTGACATTCTCCCTTTGTACATGTTATCAGAAGGGGAAAGCCCCACTCATTAGTGACAATGTCTCCCTCATTAGGATAAACAGCCCTGAGTGAGAAGCAGCCGTCCACTATTAATGCTAAAGAAAACGCCAGCAAGTAAGGGCGTACTCACACTATGTACAGTTGTGTTGAACAGGGCGAAAGCACGCTTATCCCCCCTCCCGTCTCCCCTGACGGCCCGCACTCACATTACAATCGGGCCTGTGCACGTTTACAGAGCACTGCGCACCAGAACAGCCCGACACAGAAACAGTTTCTTCCCTCAGGCAATCCATCACATGAACACTTGATAATAATAATTGTGGAACAAACATCACTACTTGCCATACACTTTTATACACATATACACTTTTTTAACAACACAATTTACATGCCAATTTGTACATAACAGCTGCACATATAACATTGTATATAGTAATATAATCCATACACTTGTCTATTTGTATATTTTGCATTCACTTCTTACTGCTTTTTTATATATTTATTATCTATTTATTGTCCTGTCTCTGTAATTCTGTTGCACTGTAGAAGCTGTCACAAAAACAAATTCCTCGTATGTGCAAACATACCTGGCAATAAGGCTCTTTCTGATTCTGATTACGTCATTGATGCTGTGCTGTTCAGTAAGAAGCGCTCTCGCTCAGCACAGTGGACATTTCTTTAGTTATATCATTTATGTCGTTTGATATGCAGTGACACGCAGTCAAATATTTTGCCGAGCAGATGCAGCAACTTTTGACGCTCATAAACAAAAATAAAGTACTCATGCTGCAGGAATTAGGTGGTTTGCTGAAGGTGCGCAGCTGTCATGCAGTGAGGGGTTTGAGTCTTTAATAAACTGCGACAGTTTGCGTTCACTGAACAGTAAGAATGATTAATTAATCCATATGAAATGGTCCCTTAGTCATGTCTCGTTTTCATTTTCGGGCTTTGGCATGTTTTGCACTCACACACAAGCGTACCACGCCAAAGCCCAAGTAAACCACGCTCAGGCACACCTCTTCCAACCGGGCCAGTTGAACCATGCGCTTGATTCAGCGCACTCACACTTCTCAAACAATTCGGGAAATGGGCCTGAGAACGGTTCAGATAGCAAAGTGCGAGTAGGCCTTAAGAGACATCATACATTTGAGCGTTAGTCTTGTTTTAAATCTGCTGCTGTGCTGATACATAAGCACTTGTAGCTCCGCCCTCAATAAGAAAAAACACAATCTCATTTGAATTTAAAGCGACATGACTTGGATCAAAGCCTAAACGGGCAGTTCTAACTGACAAAGTATATGTGTGGTATTTTGTGCTGAATCTTACACACTGGAACATCAGACACTAGATTAAATAGGGCACTAAGATCCACTCTTCATGAAAGCTTTGCCTTTAATTTTTCTTCCTCCAGAGCTTGTGTTTCTGCTGTAAACCTGTTGAGGTGAACAGTCCTCAGCAGACAGCAAAGAGGTCAGGACTGAATATACTGTAGTTTTTGTCAGGACAGTGGGGCACTGGGGGATTCAGGAGCAGAGGGTATGTTTATTCGTAAAGACCTGGAATGGGTGAAGAGCTCAAATGAAATGAACCATTATCCTGCCAACACCATCAGCTTGTAAGATTTATTTAAATGGTGAGATTCTATACCCATCCGGTAATGGCTCCAAACCTTACTGGACAATTCAACTTCATCGTGCGTGTGTGCAAGAAAAACAAAACAATCATGTGCTGTGTGTGTGTTTGTGTGAAATGGGCTGTCAGGTTCAAACAAAAACAAGTTTACACTTTCTCAACTTACACTGCTCTTCAAAAGTTTGGGTCTGTATTGTTTTTAAGCGTTTAAGAAGTTTCTATTGCTCACATGCAGTTTTTTTGTCAATCCAATCACAAGTGAAATAAGATTAAAACTGGCATAAACATGAAATATAATTACAATTTTAATCTTATTATTATTTCCATCATTTTACTCACCCCAAATATTGAAATCATATATGGTTTTGCACTTTTAAATAAGTTGATTCACTGTAGATGTAAATACTACTTCATTCATTTATTTTATTTTCGGCTTAGTCCCTTTATTAATCTGGGGTTGCCACAGCGGAATGAACCGCCAACTTATCCAGCATATGTTTTATGCAGCGGATGCCCTTCCAGCTGCAACCCATCTCTGGGAAATAAATACTACTTCTTCATCCAAATTGAAGCAAATCAGTCAATATAATCAAACCTTTCCTCTATTGTTTTACTAACGTTATGATTTAAAGAGCCATTATTATGGTCTTTAGTTACTTGGGAGTGGAGTAATATGCTGCTCTAACTGCATTGCTTTATTGCATTCCTGCATTGGGCTC